TGCACAGGGCGCAAGCTCTCGGCACATATGGTTTTTTTTTTTAATAGATCGCAAATGTGCGGCCGCTCGGCATCTAGGCCCAGACACCAGGAGGCCGCACATTTGCGTTCGCCCCCCCGGCACCAAGAGGTTAAAGGAGAAGTACAGGCAAAGCTTGTTTGGCTATTCTTCTGTGGACTGCTCCTGTGACTAACGTCCACTGTCGGCTGATGTTACCCAGCTGGTCCAGGCTGGGGAAAGATCCCAAACCTAAAGTCTGGATCTACCCAGATGTCTGGACCAGCACCTGACCCAGCCTCAAGGCCAGCCTCTCCCAACCCTTCCACAGCCTGGCGCTCCAGTTAGTGGTGGGGGTGGGGGCAGAGCAGATGGCAGCGACCGACCGTCAACGTGCTTTGCTCAGAGCAGTGTGGAGAACTGTGCGATCAGCAGCATCTGAACGCTCAGTTCTCACCCTTAGAGCCGTCGGGGGACAAATGCAGCATCGGATTGATGCTGCACCCGCCTATGGTTTAAGGAGAAAAAAAAAATTTTTTTAAGTACATGTGATATTTCAGTTTGTTGTTTTTTTTTTTTTTTTTTTTTTTTTTTTTTTCTTTTTCAATCCAGATATTTCTAAAATTCTGTTTTCACTGTCATTGTAAGGAGTGTAGAGTAATGAGAAAAAAAATGAATTTAAAAAACTGTAGTATCAGGCTGCAACATAACATTGAAAAAAGTGAAGGGGTTCTGCGTCGTTCAGGAATGCAGTGTCTGTAATCACACAGCCAGCAAGGTGGTTGGGGACAGATGATTGTCTTCGGACACAGACTGCTTCCAGAGCTGATCCTCTGTGCCTATCTGCAGTGAACTGCCGTTTGTGCGATTGCGCGTGAACAGTGACGGACAGTTTCGGTGCCTGTCATTGCTTTGTACAGGTTTCCAGGCCACAACTGTCCAGAACCTCCTGTGACTCCAGATGCAAGAATCCGCTGCTGGACCAAATCGGTCTGTGTGAATGAGGCCTTCTCCTAGAGTCCAGCCATTGGCTGTATTTATGCAATCATGGTTCTTGTCAAAACCGTTCTAAAATACGCTCCCATTGGCGTGTGTACAGGTTCTATCTTTTGTGCTTTTCAGCACCAAATGCTGCCGGTTTTCCCTTGGTGGTGTTGCCTGGTTCAACAGACCAGAGAGCAGCGAATGTTGGCAAGGCTGTAGACCGAGAACCGTACCGTGAATTGTGGTTGTGTGGTGTCCCAGGTATTCTAAACTAGGAGTTCCGTGTTGAACCGCTCTGCCTTTTGAAAGCTCTAAATTTAGTTTTCTATAAACATTTTATAATGTATAGATATATGTATTGCATGGAAAATCCTACTTACAGCTGACTATTGGGTATGCATGGTTACATTGGTCCAGCTTGCATGTGTCATCCCTGGCCGGTCCCCGAAGTAGCCACTTCTACTACAGCCGTCTAGCCCTGGGTCCAGTGCCGAGTGGCTGCCCTGCCGCTTTGTGAACACACAAGTTCTCTGCCACCATTCAGAGAACGCTTTCTATTTTCTCAATGAATGCAAAGTGTTCCCTGATTGGATGAGGTGGAATGGTGCGGCTGTGATGTCACGATCTGTCCTGTCCAATTAGGCAATCTGACAATTCGGAATGGTTTACAGAACACAACTTTGCATTATAAAATAATCGCATCGTGCAGGTATTGCACTTCGGCCTGTACTAGTTATCATGTAGCTAAGACATATATACATTTTTTTTTTTTATTTTTTTTTTTTTTAGTGATTTTTTTTTTTTGAGTTTTTCTTATATATATATATATATATATATATATATATATATATATATATATATATATATATATATATATATATATATATATATATATATATATATATATATTTTTTTTTTTTTTATTTTTTTTTTTTTTTTTTAGTGGAGCGTGGCACATTTATTCGTTTTTGACTATAGTAGCACATTAATATGAGTGTGTATGGTGTGTAGGCGATCCACTCATTCAATTTTTTCACATATATATTTTATATAAATTTGGTATATAGCACTAAATTATAAAAGGTGATTTTGGTTATAAAGATTGTAATCATATTTAATATAATATTTTTTTTATGCTTATTATTATACAGGACTTATATAGCACCGACAGTTTGCTCAGCGCTTTACATTATGGAGGGAGACAGTACAGTAACAATACAGTTCAATACAAAAGGAATTAGAGGGCCCTGATCCTCGGACAGACACCATAGTAGCTCACAAGAATCACGATTATATAGTTATGTAGCTGTCCCTTTTTTTTTTTTTTTTTTTTTTTTTTTTTTTTTTTTTGGGATGGGTATGGGAAGGTTAAAACCAGGGGCAGACTGACAACTCATGGGGCCCCCGGGCAATAGGTAATCATGGGGCCCCTGTGTTCTTGCCCAAACTCAAAAAAGCCTATGAAAAAGGTACCAAGGGCATCTCATGGGGCCCCCTACTGACCCTGGGCCCTCGGGCAGTGCCCGAGTTTCCAAATGGTCAGTCCGCCCCTGGTTAAAACACATCAGTCTCATTAGGGAGATTGCACTTCATTTCCTGTCCTGTGGACTCGTTAGAAGTCAAGGGGATAACTAACTGTCCAATGTGAGGGGGGTTTGCTAAAACTGGAGCATTCAATCTGGTGCAGCTCTGCATAGTAGCCAAACCGCTTCTAACTTCAGCTCGCTCAATTAGGCTTTGACATTGTAAACTGGAAGTTGATTGGTTCAGTGCAGAGCTGCACCAGATTTTGAACACTCCAGTTTTAGTAAATTCTCCCTAGACCACAGGGATGTCAAACTGGCGGCACTCCAGCTGTTGCCAAACTAGAAGTCCCATGAGGCATTGCAAGATTGACCGTTACAAGCATGACTCCCACAGGCAGAGGCATGATGGGACTTGTAGTTTCGCAACAGCTGGAGGGCCGCCAGTTTGACACCTTTGCCCTAGATCAGGGGTAGGCAACCTGAGAGCCGCAGGACTACAAGTTTCCATCATGCCTCTACAAGTCACAGCTGTAACTGTCAGTTTTGTAATCTTTGCAATGCCTCATGGGAAATGTAGTTCCACAACACAGCTAGAGAGCCGCAGGTTGCCTACCCCTGCCCTAGACAGTCTGCAACCAGGGTTGATGATTTGCAGGTAGTCGCTCCATTAGCGATTTCCATGCAAACATCCATTGTTGGCTACAGGAGCTGCCGGTCTTCCATTGCTTTCAATGGGGCTTCCTTTTTGCAGCCAATCACCGGGAACCCCCATTGGTGTTACCTGTATGCAATTGTACATGGCTCCATTCACAAATGTGAATGGGGTCTCAACCCCTCACTGCTACAAATGTAAGTTTTGCCTTTAGTTTATACTTGAATTGCAGTTGTTTTTGGTTTTTGTTTGTTTTGGTTTTTTTTGTTTGTTTTTGGTTTTTGTTTGTTTTTGGTTTTTGTTTGTTTTTGGTTTTTGTTTGTTTTTGGTTTTTGTTTGTTTTTGGTTTTTGTTTGTTTTTGGTTTTTGTTTGTTTTGGTTTTTGTTTGTTTTTTTTTTTGTTTTTGTTTTGGTTTTTGTTTTTGTTTTTGGTTTTTGTTTTTTTTGGTTTTTGTTTTGTTTTTGTTTTTGTTTTTGTTTTAGTGTTTTTTGTTTGTGGTTTTTGTTTTTTTTTTTTGAGGGGGGGTTGGTGTTTTGTTTTTTTTTTCCCATGTTATTAATGCACCTGAAGCAATCTTGTTCTGTGTTCTTGTCTATGCTATTATGACTCTTGGCATAGCAAGTACAATAGCCCTTTATTCTGGGTGAAGACTTCTGTTGCTGGGTTTGTTAGTAGTCGTGGTACTGTGGTATATCCAAGTCTCTGTGCATGCTAGGTTTGGGAGACGGCTCGTAGGACTCGTTCTCACCAGTTATGTTGTGCATTTTACTGTGTTTACCAATCCAGCCAAAATGCATTGACAGAATTCATGGTTTTCAGTAGGACCTGTTTCCCACCATCAGGGTACATTACAAAAAAAAATGTATTTCATGCTTCATTTTGACATTTAGGTCATCTATGTTGGGTGGTCTGGTAGATCAGTGCGCATGAATATATTGCCGCATGTGTTCTGGTGAGAACAAGCCCTGACTGTCCTTGGACCTGTGGTATGGGGTATTCTTCATAGACTCTGGTTAGCACTATGAGAATAAAAATCTTTCACCCGTTCAGTGAGCTTGACTCAAAAAAATCAGCCGTGTTGTATATTGCTGCTTCAAAATCACTTGGATAACCAAAAAAATGAATTCCTCTGATTTCTAACAGCCAGTAACACAGCGCTGATACTTATGGCTAGCTAGTTGATGTTGCCTAAAGCAAATTTTAGCTGGTACCTTTTTTTTTTTTTTCATTTTCTATTGTAGTCACGTATCAACTACTGGCTCCTAAACTGCTAGACCAATCCACTGTTGGTTAGTTCAAAAGAAAAGCACCCGGAATGGATAAGAGGTTGTGGGCCAAATACTTCAACCTTGGGGCCCTTTCCTACAGGCCATGTTCATTACAATCCGCAGGGGGATCTGTGAATGATTTCCCTGCTGAATCGGGCTGAAATGTTCGTTTTCCGGCTGAATCAGGGCTGAAATGTTCGTCTTCCTGCTGAATCGGGGCTGAAATGTTCGTTTTCCGTCCTGGTCTTAACATTCCAAGGTTAGGTCTATAGGCAAACTGATGTAAATGGACGAGCGCCTGTTTACATTTGACTGCCTCTGATCCTTCATGCTTGGGTCCTGAAAAATGGAAAAGAATGCAGACCTTGTATCCTCAAAATACACAAAATTCCAGTCCAATGCAGGGTCTGGGGAGACCAGATATAGTGAATGCGGGGTCCGGGGAGAGCGGATATAGTGAATGCGGGGTCTGGGGAGACCAGATATAGTGAATGCGGGGTCTGGGGAGAGCGGATATAGTGAATGCGGGGTCCGGGGAGAGCGGATATAGTGAATGCGGGGTCCGGGGAGAGCGGATATAGTGAATGCGGGGTCCGGGGAGAGCGGATATAGTGAATGCGGGGTCTGGGGAGAGCGGATATAGTGAATGCGGGGTCCGGGGAGAGCGGATATAGTGAATGCGGGGTCAGGGGAGAGCGGATATAGTGAATGCGGGGTCCGGGGAGAGCGGATATAGTGAATGCGGGGTCCCGGGGGAGAGCGGATATAGTGAATGCGGGTCCGGGGAGAGCGGATGCGGTGAATGCGGGGTCCGGGGAGAGCGGATGCGGTGAATGCCGGGTCCGGGGAGAGCGGATGCGGTGAATGCCGGGTCCGGGGAGAGCGGATGCGGTGAATGCCGGGTCCGGGGAGAGCGGATGCGGGTGAATGCCGGGTCCGGGAGAGCGGATGCGGGGGGGAATGCCGGGTCCGGGGAGAGCGGATGCGGGGGGAATGCCGGGTCCGGGGAGAGCGGGGATGCGGGGGAATGCCGGGTCCGGGGAGAGCGGATGCGGGGGAATGCCGGGTCCGGGGGAGAGCGGGCGGGGAATGCCGGGTCCGGGGTCCGGGGAGAGCGGATGCGGGGGAATTGCCGGGTCCGGGGAGAGCGGATGCGGGGGAATGCCGGGTCCGGGGTGAGTGGATGTGGATGCGGGGGAATGCCGGGTCTGGGGTTTAGTAACTTTTTTTATTATGGGGAAAAAAGAAAAAAAATGTTATTTGGTTTTACAAATATAGTTACAACAACAAAAAAACAGAAATAGGACAGTAAAAAGCTACACAATATCACAGTATAGATGCTGCGTTAAAGTTTTTAACAGAGAAAAAAAAGGAAAGGTTTAGTAACACTTTAATGGGATTTGTGTGATTTATGTAGTTAATCTGGAATAATTGTCTTAGAATTGTAAGATTGACTTAAAATTGTAATGTTGTGTTCTGCTTATTCTATCCCCCCCCCCCCCCCCCCCCCCGCCCCCCCCCCCTCCCCCCCGGGCATGCATGTCTGTGGTATAAATGTAGATTAGTCTTCATATTCTTTAGTTGCTTTTCCATTCATATAATTACCATTTCTAAAGGTTTAAAAATAAAAACTGTGCTAAAAACCATTTCCCATTGGCCATTGCAGCAAACCTGCTTCCAACTGTCATTTCTGCAGTTTCTGGTTTGAAAATAAAACAAGGAATCTCAGCAGATCTGCTGTGGGGGCACCAAGAGGTTTTTTTTTTTTTTTTTTGGCATACTTTTTATAGTCTATTTTATAGTATTTGTCTGTTATGGACATTTATATATTGGAATGAGGAGTGTTTATTATGATGGTAGTAGTCTGACCGTGACAAGAAGATTTGTGGGTGTTAAAGAACAGCCATAGTTAGGAGTCTGGACTTTTTTTTTTGGTTTTTTTTCTTTCTTCCCCAATGGTCACGTATCTAGGTGGATGCAGCCTCTGTCCCACACTGGCTCTAGGTGTGTGAACTCAGCGATTACATGACTGCTGATCTCTGAGTTCTCACAGCCGCTCTGAGCAGGGAGCGGTGACTGTCAGTCACCGCTCTCTGCTCTGCCCTCCCAGCGCTCACTGGAGCACTTGGCTGTGGAGGGGGAGGGGAGCTGCTGGCTCAGGCTCTCAGCAGCTCGCTGAGAGGCTGAGCCAGGTGCCTCTGCACACATTGGGGTGGATCCCAACTTTGATGTCAGGCTCTTTCCTCAGCCTGGACCGGCCGAGTGACTTCAGCCGACGGTGACCCGCTGTTGGCTGAAAACTGGTCACAGGAGGGCGGAACAAACTGGACTTATGTGATCCGCAGGAAAAGAGCTTTGGCTGTACTTCTCCATTAACCAATATTTTCAATGAACTGATTTTACTTGCATGCTTCTTGTAAATCCTCGCCTTGTAAAACGACACAATCCGTTTAAAATAGAAATGCATTTGTGTATAGATATAAGAAAAAATTATAAATACAATTTCCCCCCCCCCCCCCCCTTTTTTTTTTTTTTTTTATTTACAAGTGATCACATGACCTCTGTTCTCAGCTGCGTAAGAGCTGTGGGATGAGAAACAATAGCACACTGATCTTCCCAGTGAATGGCTGTGCAGGGGACGTGGGTGTCAGAACAAGTCTGATCATTGGAGGAGAGGCTGAGTTCCCGGCACAGCTAGAAAACTGACCACGCTGTGCTCTCATGCCTAGTGTGGTCAGTTTGTGTTTTTTTGTTTTTGTTTTTTTATTGGAAAGCAGAGTGATTGGCAGGGACATCAGGGATTTCACACAAAGGAAGCCATACAAAGAGAACAGGGGACTTCTTCATACAAGTACATGGTACAGATCAGGTACAGGAAATGTTGGTTTTACATTTTCTGTAACCTGGTATGGTGTTCATTCTGCCCAATTCTGCTAATAAGACACCCCCCCACCCCCCTATTTCCGGGCCGGGCAGGCGGAGTTCTAAAAGTTTGCTGTATTGCAGCTCTCCCCGGCATGCACAGGTGGTGGGTGCTTCCACATTTCTTGAATACCTTGTTCCTGCTGCTGACTCTGTGAACCTATAGGACACGGCAGTGACCATTGGGCCTGTGGGAGGAGCCACTGCACACAGTAGGACCCAGGTATTCAGTGCAACAACTGGAGAACGGCAGTACTGCAGACTTTTAGGGCATTGCCTGTTGGAAAGGTAAGTATTTTTTCCTTTTTTACAACAAGGTGGTCCTCGGTTGCTTTGGTGCGCTTAAAGCCCAACTCCAGGAAATTTTAAAGTAGAACTATAGCAAAAGCTTTTTTTTTTTTTTTTTTTTTTTTTTTTCTTTCTTTTGTTTTTCTTCCCCACTTTGGAGAAAGGGAGGATTATAATAACCCCTGTCAGGTTTTTTTTTTTTTTTTTTTTTTGCCATCTGTGTCCCATTGCTGAGATTTCCCTTCACTTCCTGCCCCATAGACAAACAGGAAGCGATAGGAAATCTCTGCAAATGAAAATAATTTCTTGGGGACACCCAGAACCGGTGTCCCCATTGGAAGGTTTCCCCTCTACTACTTTTTGGGGACAATCCAAAATGTTGTGATTTTTCTTTTACTTTAAATTGATCATTATAAACAGGACAAATCGAGAGGGAGAATCTCCCTAATGTGGGCACAGACAGCAAGAAAAACTGGCAGGGGGTCTAATCCATCTCCACTCCATCCAAAACCAAAAAAAAAAGGTTTTGCCTTTTAGATCTACTTAAAAAGTGATCTCTTGCAGTGGGGCTGTGCCTACCTTCATGGGTTAATTGCTTATGTAGGGCTAGGGGACTTGTTAACCCCTCGCCCTCCAGAGGATTTCCCCCTTCCTGACCAGGCCATTTTTTGCGATACGGCGCTGCGTTACTTTAACTGACAATTGCGCGGTCATGCAGCGCTGCACCCGAATGTAATTTTCACACTAATAGAGCTTTCTTTCGGTGGTATTTGATCGCCTGTGCGGTTTTTATTTTTTGCTGTATAAACAACAAAAGACCTACCATTTTGGGAAAAAAAGTATATATTTTTCACACTTTGGTATTAACTGCTTCCTGACCGCCCTATAGCAGAAATACTGCTACAGGGAGTCACGTGTGCACAAAATCACGTGTATGTATGTGCAGGGGCGGACTGACAACTCATGGGGCCCCCGGGCAATAGGGGATCATGGGGCCCCTGTGTCCTTGCCCAAACTCAAAAAGGCCTATGAAAAAGGTACCAGGGGCATCTCATGGGGCCCCCTACTGACCCCGGGCCCTCGGGCAGTGCCCGAGTTTCCAAATGGTCAGTCCGCCCCTGGACCGGGGTGTAAAACAGTGTGCATGGAAACATAGTATAACACGATTTAGTTACATAGTTAGTCTGGCTGAAAAAAAGACAAAAGTCCATCCAGTTCAACCAATAAAAATAAAATAAAAAGTTATAATCCTACACCCACAGTTGATCCACAGGAAGGCAAAAAAAACCCAGAATAGAATAAAACAGAAATATAAACATCTTCTGAAATTCGAGTTTCCAAATGGTCAGTCCGCCCCTGTGTGTGTGTGTATATGTATGTTTATGTGTTTTGTATTATTTTGTATGTTTATGTATGTATTGTATATGTGTATGTGTATATTGTGTATGTGTGTATGTATATTTGTATATATATGTAATGTATATATATATATATATATATATATATATATATATATATGATGTGTGATTTTTGCATCTCCTCCCTGTTGGCACGTGCACACTGCTTTGGATGGCTGTGCACAGCCATGCGAAGCAGTGCGATTACAGTGAAGCACACAGGACATAGTGATACAGCACACAGTCAACCCTTTTATTTCCCCTTATATTAACCCGTTCCTGCCCAGTGTCATTAGTACAGTGTCAGTGCTTGCGTTTTTTTTTTTTTTTTTTTTTTTTTTTTTACCGCACGGAGCACTGTATTGGTGTCACTGGGGATGTCAGTGACACCAAGTCCCCCCCCCCCCCCCCCCCCCCCCCCCAGTGTCTTAAATGCTCGCCACAGTCCCTCTGTAAGTTGTTGATCGCCGCCATTACTAGTGAAAATATTTAAAAAAAATTAAAAGTCCCAGTATATATACCTCCATTTGTAGTCTCTATAACTTTCACATAAACCAATTAATTTACACGTATTGGGATTTTTTTTTTTTTAGCGAAGACACGGAACAGAATATGTTGCAGTTTAAATTTATGCCGAAATTGTAATTGTAAGCAAAAAGTCAAAAAATATTTTTTTTCTCAGAATTGTTCGTGTTTTTGGTTTTTTTTTTGTTTTTGTTTTTTTTTTTTTTGATAGCGCAAAAAATAACACACAGGCGATCAAATACCACCAAAAGCTCAATTTGTGGGGTGGGGAAAAAGACATAAAGTTCATTTGGGTGCAGTGTTGCATGAGCAGTTGTCAGTTGAAGTAACGTAGCGCCATAACGCAAAGAATGGCCTGGTCAGGAAGAGGGGGAAATCCTCCGGAGGGCAAGTGGTTAGATGTTTTCCAGTAAAATAATGTAAATCAAATTTCATCATTTATTTATTTCAGGTACTTGTATAGCGCCATCAATTTACGCAGCTCTTTACATATATATTGTACATTCACATCAGTCCCCGCCCCCGAGGAGCGTACAATCTAAGGTCCCGAACTCACATTCATACATACACATACTAGGGACAATTTAGACAGGAGCCAATTCACCTACCAGCATGTCTTTGGAGTGTGGGAGGAAACCGGAGTACCCGGAGGAAACCCACACAGGCACAGGGAGAACATGCAAACTCCAGGCAGGTGATGCCGTGGTTGGGATTCAAACCAATGACCCAAGTACTGCCAGGCAGAAGTGCTAACCATTTAGCCACTGTGCTGCCCACAGTTAGGCCAAAATGTATTCTGCTACATGTCTTTGCTAAAAAAAAAAAAAAAAAAATTCCCAATATGTGTAAATTAATTGGATTACGTGAAATCTATACGTGATTTTGCGCACCCGTGCCGCCCTGTAGCAGTATTTCTGCTATAGGGTGGCGCAGAAGTGATTAAAGATAATCTACTTACCGAATCCTATGCT